CAAGGATTATTACATCCCTTGGATATTCCAGAAGATCGGTGGAAACATATCACTATGGACTTCGTGACTTCACTCCCCGAGACCAAGCCAAATCGCTACAACGCTGTGATGGTTGTCGTCGATCGCCTCACAAAGCGAGCGCATTTGGTTGCGACTAAATCAACAGCCACTGCGCAGGACACAGCAAAACTTTTCCGGGACAACTATCAGCGTTTTCATGGACTGCCTGCTTCTATTGTGTGTGATCGATTCAAAATTTACCTCTAAGTTCTGGACAAAACTACTGGAGTTGCAAGACACCAAGTTAAAACCCAGCAGCGCCTTCAAACGTTCAACGGACGGCCAAACGGAGATTACGAATCGTTACCTTGGAGACTTCCTGCGAGCTTACGTAAGTCCTCACCAAACAGATTGGAACGAATTCCTCGCGCTGGCCGAGTTAGCGTACAATTCCCGCGTCCACGACAGCATCGGAATGGCTCCATTTGTCGCTGATTTGGGGTATTTACCGCGCTCGGTCAGTGAATTAGCAGTCCCACCTCGCGACAGACCTCGGTCTGCATCCCGATTCGTTGACACGCGGCAGACTATCCTAACGGAGTGCCAAGACGCGTTGGAACAAGCGCAACAGAGGATGAAGTTCTATTACGATCGCAACCGGCCAACTATCTCATTTCAAGTCGGCGATGAAGTTCTTCTCGACACCTCCAACTTGGCTCTTCACCACGTCGGTAATGATGGAAAGAGGTCACTGGCTCCGAAGTACATCGGGCCATACCCTGTTGTCAAGATTACAACACCCGACGCATACCAGATCGGGCTTCCACCAGGGCTCAAATTGCACGACGAGTTTCACGTATCTCGCCTACGACGCTACACGCCGGACGACTCTGCTACTCGTGACAACCGAGTTCCAGTATTGATTACACGCGACGGCAGCCTCGGATTACAGGTCAAACAGATTCTTAAGCATCGAGTTCGTCGCAGTGTCGACGAATACTATATTCGTTGGTATGGCAGTGCTAACAAAGACTCATGGGAACCTGCAGAATCGCTTGTCCAAGTCAGCGGGCTCATCGATGCATTCCACGATCGCGAAAAGCCATCACGGCCCAGGACTCGCTCTCAAGCGGCTCACACCACCACTACGCCGCTTTCCTAAAGGAGGGAGTGTGACAGTACACCATGGATTCCACGACTTCTTTGGCTGCTTTCTGATTTAGCGTCGCATGGAGCGCACTACTCATCATGCAGCTGACACCCACGATCAACGGCCAGGAGACTCATCTCAAAGTTGTAGGCAGTTAGCTAGCTTTGCATTTG